AATTTAACAAATTTATTAATTTAACAATAATTATAAAACTACCTCATTTCTATTATCTATGAAATAGATATAAATATATTATACAAATTTATTAATTTAACAATAATTATAGAAACAACTTACCTTGTTTTTTTTGCTTGTGTTCTAAGGAAACAAACCATTAATTTAACAATAATTATGGAACAAACACCCTGTTTCTATTATCCATGCCTAATAACAAGAAAAAATAAATATATTATACAAAACCATTAATTTAATAACAATCATAGAATGACTATCTTGTTTCTATATCCACATCTATAACAAATAAATAAATAAAAAAATATATTATACAAAACTATTAATTTAACAATAATTATAGAACAACTATCTTCTACTATTCATCATTTATTCATCTAATAATAAGAAATGGATATACAAAGTAAATATATTATACCAAACTATTAATTTAACAATAATTATAGAATGAATACCTTGTTGTATCCTCCTTCAGTTTTTCCTTTAGTAGTTTCATTTATTGTTTAAAAGTTTTAGTTTCTTTACAAAGTGCACATTTGGCTTTTTTCATTATTATGCCTTAAAGATAACAAGTTCGCCCACCCAACTTCCAGTTCTGCTTTATTTTACTTGATTTTCTATACTTCGGAGCCTACTCTAATTTTGTTGCAAATTACACATCTGCTGCATAATACCATTAGTACTAAGTAAAGTATGTCAAAATCGCAGACGCCGACGGATGCAGCTGGAATTAAGTTAAAAAAACGTTAAAAAATATCTCTGCAAAGTTACAGTACGTGTTACATATCAACATGTCACCACTTTAATTGAACAATAAAGCTTTTTTACTTTAAAATTACGTTACACGCATAAAAAATTAGTGTAACATTTCGAATGTCTATCAATGCTCCCTAGCATATGGTATATTTTAGAATTTGGGAATTTAGAATGTTTCCAAAAAAAAATTTTTTTATTCATAATAAATAATAAAACAAACAACAAATAAAAAAGCTTTAAACAAATCGTTTTAGTAGTTTATATAATATAATTGTTCTTGTTTTTTTTTCGATAGTATTAAAAAAATGAGTAAGGTTTCAAATTTTAGTTCTTTTATTTTATTTATTTATAAGTATATAATGAAAAAATTATAAATAATATTAATAATAACAATATTATTTTGCTTTCTTTTTGGTTGTTGAAATTAGCACCAAACGGCTCCGATCAATTTGAACCAGACGAAGAAAGACATCATGGCTTTCGAGATTTTGATGATAGAGATGAAAGACATCACGATCGCCATTTAGAAGAACGTGGTGAAGATAATCGAGGCGAAAGAAGAAGTTTAAGTGGTTCTCGTTCTAGAAGTCCTCGTCGACTTCGATCAAGAGAACGAAGGTTGTTATTTTTAGCCACTTATAATTATTGATTAATGAACGAATGATTTTTAAATTTTTATTTGATTATTTGTTAATTGTGTATATAGTAGAGGGGATGAAGAGTCTAATCCTGGTAATAGTTTGTTTGTTACTGGTTTATCACCAAGAACTAGCGATAGAGATTTAGATGAATTATTTTCAAAATATGGAAAGGTAGTTATAGAAAGAATGGATAAACAATAAATTGAAATAATAATATGCATATTAATGATTCTTTTTCCTTTTTTTTTCTTTATAATTTTTTTTAAAGGTCGTAAAGGCACAAATTATGTATGATCCTCATACCCGAGAATCACGTGGATTTGGATTTGTTACAATGGACACGTATGATGATGCAGAAGCAGCAAAAGATAATACTAATGGTACAGAAGTTCAAGGAAAAACGATAACCGTAGAAAAGGTTGGTTGTTAAAACGATGTTGAAGAAAAGATCTGATGATTTTGAGAAATATAAATATTTATTGTTTATTATTTAATTTTTCTTCTTTATCAAATAAAAATATCATTCCATTTTCTTTTGGGTTTGATTAGGCAAGAAGATCCAGGCCTAGAACACCAACACCAGGCCGTTATTATGGTCCACCTAAACGTAGAGGTAAGTAAATAAAATAAATTGAACACTTTAATTCACTCACTCATATATATATATATATATTAAATCTAAACCCTCTTGCCTCTATTTTCTATAGAACCTCGTCGTATTGATAGATTTGATCCAAGATATGATTATAGTAGACCGCATGATCGCTACGACCGACCACCAAGAAGTTATGGTCGAGAGCCTTACTATGAACGAGGAGGGTTTGATAGATCGTCATCGTATTATGATAGAGGAGGCTATGATAGGGGAGGATATGATAGGGGAGGATATGATAGAGCATATGATAGAGGATATGATCGTGAGAGAAGATTACCACCACCTTCACGTTATGATCAATATCCAAGACCTCGTTCTCCATATTAATTAACCAACTTTATATATATATATATATAGGGAAATGACAATGGCAATTGAAATAATGTTATGCGCAATTATTATTTGATATAATAATAATAATAGTAATAATAACTTTTTTTTTTTTAGTTTGGATCTATTTGATACACATATATACGTGTGTGTATATATATATGGATGATAGTTTATTTTATTAATTAATTAGATCAAATTTTGTTAAATTTCGCCGTCCATTTTAGAGAAAAAAATCTTTTATATTTTATTTTTATTATTTTATATTACTTTTATTATTATTTTAATTTTTTTTTTTTCAGGTTGTCATTAACAACAAAAAAAAAAAGAAACTCTCACCCAAAAATATCTATTCATTAATTCATTCATCGATTTCATTCAATTATTCAGCAAAAAATATTTTTTCAAATTTTTAGCTTTCTTAAATATAAATATATTGTTATTATTGATTATTATTACAGCAATTAAATCAACAATTATTTTTTAGAAAATTATTTAGAATAGATTAGAATAGTGATTGGTTAGTTCGAATGGTTAATTAGTAGTGATGATGCTTATACATCAACATATTATTACAACTGTTCTCAACTCACTAAACACAACAAAAAAAATAAAAAAATCTCATCATTGGCAACATGTGTATGACAAAAAAATCGTCTTTTTCAGTTTTCATTTTTTTTTTTTAACAACATTACAAAAAAAAATTCATTATTTTGATTTCACCCACATACTGTATACGTGCATCCACATTCGTTCATTCAAATTCACCTACAAAAAAATTTCAAAGTCACATCCGCAAACATTCAATTCATCCACCCACACATGCAATATTAATTAACTATTATTTTCAGCATTAATAACTTTAACAAAGTTTTTGGTTGGAGTTTTTCATTTTATTTTTATTTGATAACTTTATAAAATTTGTGAATTCTTTTTATTTTCTTTATCTTTTTTTTTTAGGATTGAAATTCAATAAGGTGATAACTTCCTTGCATATACAAAAAAAAACTCATGATTATGATTTTCTATGTCACGGAATAATATCTGTAGCACAAAATGAAGATTTGTATAAAAATGCCACCGGGAGTAGTAAAATAATCATAAAGGTGCAGGGAAGAAAGGCGAGATTTTTTTATTTGAAGCAAGGAAGGGAGAGATCGGAAAAATTAAATGATTAAAGAAATTAAAGGTAAATAAATGGAACATTGATTATTATTGTTATTATTATTACTGATATTTAAAAAAAATAGATTTTGAATTAAATAAAAAGTGAAATTTAAAAATTTTCATCATCATATAAATTGTTTCTTCCATTAAAAGTATCTCAATAGATTCCTGAATAAGTCTCTATTCACATTTTATTTAATATAATAGATTTTTGATAATCTATAAGACATCAAAACTCTTCTTTTGTCAGCTTGCTAAATATTTTTTTAATAGTCTGTCTTGCATGTGCTTATATGTAGAAAAGTTTGATTCAAACATTTTGTACTCTTGAAATCATTACTATGATTACTTTCTAAGATATGTAATATATCTGTGCCAGCTAACACTACTCTTACCCATGATCATCTGAAATAAAATCAGCTAAAGTTATATTTTTGTCATGATTTGACCTGATCACATTCACGTTTTTAATACTAAAAATCCTAACTCACTTGCAAAAAATTTATTAGTTACATTTCTTCTGACTTAGGAACCATTTATAAAATATGGTCTAAACCATACATGTTGGCCAAAATTATTTCTGTTCATTGCCAAATTCAAAATGTCGAAATAGTTTTCATAGTATCCAAAATTAATTTTAATGGCGGCCAAAATTATGTCAAAAATTATTTGAATTCTTTGATTCAATAGCCAAAACTCTGGGGTTTTTTTATGACCATTAATATAAGGAATGTGGAAAAGCCAGAATGTTGTCAAAACATTTGGCAAACGCAAAACCAATTTTAGCTAACATGTATGGTCTAAACTTCATTTGATATCAAATAAATTTTTACAAAACCCATCAGTATATACAATCTGTGCTTTGTATCAGCATAGTGGGCTTTCTCTATGATTGGCTAATTTCATCTTTACATTACGGTTTAAATTTAATAAAAATAAAAATGAATTGAGTTATGAAGCCTTAAATAAAGTTCAAAGATTATTTAAAACTGCATCTACAGAAGAATCTAAAGAAATATTTTCTCTATCATCTAATTACTTTCATCATCATCACCATCACCATTTTCTATAATTGAATTATCTTCAGAATTTAAACTACTTCGAAAAATGTTAGAATTGTCAATGGTACCTTTTATTAAATATTCATTGCAATAAATGCATTACCCTGAAAGATTTAACAAAAAGCATTCATAATGATGAATGGCCACATTCCAAATTATAACCAAAGCTCACTGTTGTATAACTTTGCTGTTTCTGGCACAGCTCAAATAATTTTACTAGATTTTTTATATCATTTATATCCACAAGGTGTTTCAAGACTAATTTCACGTCAGTTTCAACGTAACTAAGCTTATACCATAGCATATTAATTTTTTTTTCCAGCCACATAGAAATGTGGTGTGATTCATGTTCCAGGACACATCAAAGTAACAGAAATACATCTACCGAAAACTCTTCTTTGAATGATCAACAAGCCGTTGGAAACAACAATTCTATTAATCAACCAGCTGGCGAAAATGTTAGTGAACATATGGTATTTAATATTCTTTGGAAATCTACTAGTTAGTAACTATAAGATGCAGAATCAATAAATTAAGTATTCCTAGTGCTGTCCTCAATAGCGGTGCAAATTTCTCTATAATGTCAGATAGAAACAAAACCGCTTCTCTTGAAGGTATAGCTACTGAATCTGATATCATTTGGTGGGTATTTTGAGATCAAAATCCGCGTCTCACAGTAAATCTCAATATTTTATTATTTGCAACAATAATTTCTGTGAATGTATATTTATGCTTTACTCTCAAAACTATCCTTTACTATCATCAAACAATTTCTTATACTAAGAAATACTAAACAATATCTTTTTAGATTTTACGCCATGTATCCTGATCACGTTTATTGGTGTGTGCCCTTCTAGCCGTTTTCCCCTTTGCTACCAAGTCAGGTACGTCTCCAAAACTACCAAATAAAATTTATTAAATATTACCCACTAAAAGAAAAGAGAGAAATAAAAAATAATAAAAATAATAGAGACAATTATAAAATATGAGAAAATGGTTATGCACAGAATTAGTATGTATTCTTTGTTAGAGATAGATTTATTATCATTACGAAAATATAATATTCGAAGACAATAACAATAACAACAAGGACAAGGACAAGGACAAGGTTGAGGACAGTGTTATTTATTGAACGATCATCACCATGATTGATTAATTAATTGATTAAAGATTGTACATGAAGTTGAGAAAATTACAACGTTATTTATACATGTTAAAGGTTCTATCTAGCTCTTCGATTTCTTTGAAATTCTAATTAAATGTATTACCTGAACCTTCTGCGTAGAATTATTTTAAAGTTATTTCTAAAGTGATCCAATCATTTAAATTTTTTCGTTCAAACTAATCCATGAATTAAAGGACTGTTACATTTAGAATGTTGGAATATTTATTTCTCCGTTGTTTGAGATATTTTTTGTGAGTCAATTATTTTATTGGTGATTGAAAAATTGGGCTGGTTTGAATATGAATACTTGATCAGTTTTCCGATTTTATTTGTTTACTGGTACATAAAATAGAAGGTAGTGGATTAGAACAGGGTTGGGAATCGTACACGTACGTACGTGCGTGTGAGCTTAAAAATCTTTTAGTACAAATGTACGAACATATCATGTGATTTATGATCAAACTTTTGTCATAACGGATTTTTAAAAAATTTTGCTTCGCATATCACATGTAAAAACATATAAAAATCCGCTGTGGCAAGATTAGTATTAGTATTTAGTAATCTTGCCACAACGGATTTTAAATAAAATTTGTTTATGTGTACCGTTCATCCGCTGTGGCAAGGTTTGACTATATTGTGGAATTAACTACATACTGTATATGATTGAAGATATTTAATACCACTATTAAATTATTTTGAATTGATAATATAATTAACAAGAATGTGAAGATAATTTTTTTATTTCATTATAAATAAATAAAAAAAAATTAGGAATCACGGTAATAATAATACTACTAATACTACTAACAATAATGCACCCAGGATAATGTCTGTTACGACCTTTAATTATAGTAATCGTAATAATAATAGGGCTGACAGCATAATATTATTATAAAATAATATTTTATCACCACAGAAAATCATCGTACGTTCGTACAACGAAATTGCACAACACTGACTATAATAATAACGTATATAATACTACTACATAATAACAAGGGATTTAAATAAGCATATATAACATGATAATCAGGTTTTTTCTGATAATGAAATAGTATTACGACCCCAGTTACAACATCTGGTAATCCATTAATTATATAATAGGGTTATCGGCTTAATAATAATATTATTATAGGATTTTACAAAGTAATATTTGTCACCGCAGAAAATCATCGTACATTCGTACGTACGTACATATGTAAAATTTACTCGTACAGGTGTACGACCACAACAAAACTCAATGGTACGAAGTCAGTAGTACGTACGAAGATTCTTCTCGTACAGCGAAATTGCACAACCCTGCTTGCAATGATTTGGAACACGTATTACCAAATTTGGAAAGATTGTCTTCAAAAAGTGTGGGTCAAAAACCCTATATCAAACCGCGATTTTTATGTAACCTATTACTATCTTAATCTATATTAATATAGTTTTCGGGTCGTATGTACGAGATTACACTTATCAGGACGGATCGTCGATTTTAATTTTTTGTCTTCATTAATTTTTTTTGTCAACAATCATTCCCAATTCTGTTTTAAAAAAATGCAATATTTTACTGCCTTGTTCTAAATAAAAAAAGACAAATAAAACAAAATGAGAGTGTCTATGTACAAATATATATTAAGTTTTAAAGGGTAAAAAAGATTAAAATGATAATTAATAATGATAATTAATGATAATGATAATGATAATGATAATGATAATGATAGTATGATTAGATATCTAGTATTTTTTTTTTTTATAATACAAAAAAATTACAAAAATTACAAAAAATTTTATCAAAAATTAACACCCATCTTCTATAAAAGAATATATATATAATGGTTAAGTTAAAAAAGTCTATTTTTTAAATATTATATATTATAATCATTATATCGTTGACGAATTGTGTCGTTGATGATGTTTCGGCCTATTTATTGAATTTTCAAGTTGTGAATTATGTCTCGACAGTGAGTTTATCGATATAACGTCCTTTGACGTAATTGACATATTATCATTATTATTGTCATCGTTGTCGTTGTTGTACTTATTACTACTATTATTACTGTTACCAATAATGTCATTATCATTACTATTACTCCTATTATCATTGTTATTACTAGTATCATTACTAGTAATAGTAGTAGATTCAGTTATATTTGGTGTGTCCGATATGGATGAATTTACATTTGTATACCAAGCATCAGTATTCATAGGTGGCAAAGCAACAGAAGATGGTAAAGCAGCCATTCTAATAAAGGTAGATCCAGGCATTGATGTTCCTGATGAAGAAGCAATATAAGTATTACCACCCATGTATAATATTATATCTCTTATCGTACCATCGAATTCAGGTATAGGGACATGCGGTAGTGAGTATATTGAAGGCGCTGATGGAGTATAAGCAGGTGGTGCACAAGAAATGGTAGGATCTCCGAGATTTGATGTTTCTTCAATTAGTATTTCATCATCCAACGTTATCTCATCACTTTCTAATTTATCTACAGATGGTGCAGAGGGTTCTACATTATTGGATAACGATCGTGGGGTGTGGATTTGTATTGGCTGTAAATAATTGATATTATTTTCTTCATTCATCTTTTTCTGAGATAAGCTTATAATATCACCATTTGAAATATTGTCATCATCATCATCATTATTACTATTGTTATTGTTATTACTATTATTACTATTGTTACTATTGTTATTACAACTGCTACTACTACTATCGCTATTATTATTATTATTATTATTATTATTATTATTATTATTACTATTATTATTATTATTATTATTATTACTATTATTATTATTATTATTATTGTTATTGTTATTATTATTTAACTCATCGTTATCGTTATCGTTGTCGTTGTCGTTGTCGTTGTCGTTGTCATTGTCGTTGTCGTTGTCGTCGTCGTCGTTATCGTTGTTGTTATCGTTATAGTTATTATTATTATTTTCAATAGACTTTTCATTTTTCATTAAGGTAGGTGAACCAACTTTTTTAACTAATTTTTGTTGTTTACGAACTTTTAAATAGAGAATTCCAATAGCAATTGCAACCAAAAAAAGCGAGACCCCCAATGAACACAATACCACAATAACTCTATGAATAGTCCTTTCTTCTTCAATAAACCTTTCCTCATTTTCTAAATCTTGATGTTTAGCTGGATCATCACTTGGGCTCGCATTTGATTGAAGTGTGCTAGAATATAAATCTGACACATTTATTGAATCATTTCCGTCATCCTTTTTAATAACAGCATTGTGGTGAGTTGTTACTGTATTTGTTACAGTTGTAGTTATTTCTGTTTTTGTTGCAGTTACAATGGTTATAGTTGAAGGATTATCATCTTTTATTTCTCTTTTTTTTACAAAATGACTCTGTATTGAAGCCGCCAGAAAAGTATCTAGAGATGAATGTTTGGGTAGAATAGCTACCGATTGTACTGGTAATACTGCGCTTATGGCAATAGTAACCACCACCGTGATGGTTATAATAACGAAGCAACAAAGCTTCATTATTAATATTATATTTATTATTACTGCCAAGGAATAAAAATAAATAAATAAAATAAATAAATGTTGTTGGTGTTGTTGTTGCTATATAAATCTTTATTTTTAGTATAATTATTTATATAGTAAAAAAAAAATAAATATATTATTGAATTACATACATTTCTTGAAAAAAAAACGGTTTATATATATATATAGATATATGTATGTATATAAAATATTTTTTTTCTGAGAAATTCTAATATTTGTATTCGTTAATTTTCTTCCACTTTGATAATAAAAAATATAGATTTAATTTAATTCCAAAAATAAATAATATCGTTCGTTTTAGATTTAATTAAATTAAATTATTAATTATTATTAAAAGAAGCAAGTTTTTTCTTTTTGTCCCTAAAAAATTTTTTTGTAAAAGGTTTTTAACACTTTGTATATTGTATATTTTTTTTATTTATGTTTTCTTTTATTATTAATAGTAGTGCAAAGTACTGTTACATAAATAAATAAATATATTAATATATTAATATAGTAAAAAATGCAATAAACATATCATTGTTTGCACAACATTTTTTAAAATACAAATGGTAAAGATCCAGTGATATGCGAAACATTTAATGTATCTTGCAGATCGAAGAATATAGAATTTACGGTAATACGACGTCAATTGAAGTTTAATATTTAAAAGTTGTATATAGTTCCAAGATTAGAGCCTGAACCATGGTAATAACGTGAAAAAAGCAAACTTTGAATTAATATCAAACCTTTTATGTAGAACATTTTGGCTTAGAAATCATGCCCATTTTGTATAGTAAATATTTTGAGGTATTGTTCTTTAATTTCAACTGCTTGGAATGATCATTTTCTATTCATCCAGGTCCCATTAATTAAATGCATTGAAAGAAAAACATCTGAATATGATAGGAAGGGTTATACTCCTTTTTCCTCATTTAAATATACTAAATATAAGTTGATTTAAAAATGCAATTCAAGTATTCGATACAGTTCCACAATCCTCTGTGAAACTTGGTTATACGTCAATTGATTTTCCCGTCACCAAACATATCGATCGATGGCCTCAAAAAAAATCATCCCGACTCTTTTTCTTGTACTGGTGATACATTAGCATATTAGAGTAAAGTTTTTAACTTGTAAAGAATGTAGCAGATTTAAATTTTACACCGAGGCTGATGATGGATTTGCAGTCACGATCGGACCATGGAGGAGTGCACGACTTGGAAATAGTGTAAATGGTTGAGTGACTGACTATTGTAACCCAAAAGTTCGTAATCGTTTAAGGAAGAATTTTCAAAAAAACTTGTCTTGTAGACTTTGCAAAAAAGGGAGTTATTGATCGATCTTACAAAAGAAGTATAATAATAGTGAAATTTATAAATTTGGAAACGGGCTTCTCGGTAACCTTGAAAGATTATGAATTTCTTGGATTCAAAAAAAAAAATTTTTTTTTAGATGCTAACAGTCAGTAATGATGAGCTTTAATCCTGGTCGATGAAATATTCGGAATGAAAATGGCATAAACGTAACGAAGAAATATCTGCATAAATAGGCCACAAATTTTTAGAAGGATCAGTTGAATTGATTTTCCTACCAAAGTTATTAGGTCCAGAATGGTATGATGATGATTCCCAATAGCACGGGTTGCTAATATTTATTTCTATTTTTTTTTTTTTTTACTAACTTTAAATGAATCATGTGGGGTTTGTACTAGGAAAATCGAGCTATCAGACAAAAAATCTATTTTTGGTAACAACAGGACCTCGTGAACTTCATAGATAAGGTCAATAACAAAAATTACTGTTTGTTATATGATTTGACCCAGACTAAATTTAAGTTTGATATATAATTTGACCCTAAGGTTTGCAAAAAAGAGCATAATTTTACCCATAATATATACTAACATTAAAAATTTTGAAACTGTCTACTGTAATGAAATTAAATTTTACAAATCAATTGATTTAACTGACCAACTGATTATAATAATTCACTATTTTTATAAGTTATAATATTTTAATGATTATTTTTAATATAAAAGATTTACTATACATAAAATATTGGTTTTGAAGAAAAAAAATTGTCGTGCAAAAATTTTTGGTTCCCTAAATCATTGACTACTAATAGATTTGGCCCTATTAAACCTAACCAACCTTTTTGGTGTATAATAATTTGGCCCTATTTAACGATTGTTGAATTTGACCCAGCTGCGGCAGTAACTTATAACAACCCTTATAAATTTGGTTACACGTATGTTTTTAATATACTATATAATACAGAGAAAATATTCCAAGTCTTGTATCTTCAATTTTTTCACCAATTTATAAATTCTTGTGTTGAGATTATTGTTAGTAAAAAATGCCACCAAAAAAAAAAAATTAAACGAAATTAAAGCAGCAAAAAAAAATCAATAGAAGAAGTTAAAGCTAACTAGGGTAACTTTCTTTATTATAATGATTTTTGTTAAATAGAATGAGTTAATAAAGGTAGTTTAAATGATAAGAATTCAGCCAGTTCGAAGTCGCAAAAAAAAAAAACAGCTGGTAGCTTGATTTTCCGAGTACAGACAGACCCATGTATTTTTTTAATTAATTTTATTATTTTATTTATAAATAATGAAATATTATTTTGTATTTTTATAATTTAATTTCTAAAGGAATTTTTGGTAAATAAATAAATAAATATTACAAAATTAAAAAATAGGCAAATATATATATATATATATATTATTAAAATCAGTTTCAAAAAAAATAAATATTATTAAATATTTTCAGAATAAAAGAATAAAAAATAATTAATAATAATAATAATAATAATAATAATAATAATAATAATAATAATAATAAATAATAAATATTAAATATTAAATACAAATAAAAAATACAAGCGCTCACACACCCACACACACATATATATATATATATAATATTAAATTTAAATATTAAATATTCCTAAACATTGTCATTCTCTTCTCTGCTCTAATCTTACGCCTTCGTTGAATTTCCAATATATGTGTCTCACAATATTGTTGATTCTCAAAGCTATAATAAATATCTGTAAGTGGAATTGCACAATTCTATATAACAATAATAATGATAATGTTAATATATTAATTAATTATATACATATTACTATAAATATAAATATACAAAGTAATTAGATGATACATACAATACAGACAAAACAACGAGGATGATACCTCCATCCTTCAACTGTTTGCGCACATGGTCCTTCGATCGGATCATCACATTGTCTGCAAAGTGAATTGTTGAGTTTATGATAATGTCTTTTACAATATGGTGCATTGTTAAATACATAAAACGATTTATCAGGAAATGGTTTATAGCAACTCTAAAAGATAATAAAAATAATTATTAGATTAATATAAATGCTATCTTATTTTTCATAAAAAGAAAAGGAATGATGATTAAAACGATAATATTTACATGACAATTGAAGCATTCCACATGCCACTTTCCCTGCAATTTACCATCGCTTGCACTAACTGCTTCTTTTTCTACTGATAATCCACATCTACGACATTTTGGTAAAAAATTTTCTGCATAATCTCTTGGGCAATAAACTTTTCCATTTTTTTCAACATGACCTTCATTTGGATCAATTGGTTTTTGACAACTTGTACAAAGTAAATGATGTGGATGCCATGCTTTATCAAGTGCCCACATCGGTGATGAATTGATTTTAGAATCACTTTTGTAATAGTGGTAGGATTGATAAGATTGATAAGATTGTTAGTTATTAATATAATTAATTATAATAAAGATGATAAAGATGATGATTATTATAACATACCAATATGCACATATATTTGTATTATCCATTTCTGATATCAAATCATTCAACAACTTGTCGACTCCGCTTGAAGCACTTGAAGCACTTGAAACGCTTGAACCATTCATTTTACCATTACCACGATGATGGTTATTATTATTATTATTATTATTATTATTATTATTATTATTAGGTTGATATCCGTCTAATATTTAATTTTAATATTTAATTTATTATGAAGAAAACCATATAATAATAATAGTAATAATAATATAATAACTTACTTTGATTGTCTGGTGCATTGTTACGAGATATTTGTGGTTGTCTATCATAAGGAGAGTCGTAACCATTAGGTTTACCATTATTGGACCTATCATAATTTCCAGGTGATCGATCACGCACCCTTAATTCATTTGTAGTACGCGGATAATCTCTGCCATCATAGCTATAATTGTCATTTGAATTAGAAGATGAGGAGGAGGTGGTGGAAGGATACCTGTTGTTATTAATATTATTGTTTTGTCTATTGTCATAACTATCAAATTGTTTTGGTGTTTGCGTCTGGTAACTATCATTATCATAAACTTGTGCATAAGGAGGATCTCTTGATGTTTGAGTATTGTAAGGATCTTGACTATATGTATTACCATTAGAATAATTGTTGTTATGATAACTATTTTGATTATTTTCAATGGGAGATATTGATGATTTATTATTATTATTATTACTACCATTACTATCAATTCTGGGTGATGGACTTGTTTTACCCTTGGCTGCGGCATATTTATTTAAAAATGTACTAGAGGTAGGAGTTGATGGTTGCAGTGGGGCATAATTATTACTTGGTTGCTGTGAGGTATAATTATTAGGATTACTTGGTTGTAGTGGAGCATAATTATTATTATTACTTTGCTTCTGTGGAACATAATTATTACTATTACTTGAATATCCAGAATCTGATGAAAGTGGCGCATCATAAAATGGACGTGGTGAACGTGGTGAACGATTTGAACGGGTTGAAATATTATTATCTAAACATTGGACAAATAAAATATGAATTGAAAGATATATGTACATATATGTATATATTAGCTCTAAATATTTTTAAATTCCATTATTTAACTTTATAATAATAAAATAAAAATTTCTGCTTAAAAAAAAATACACTTTTTGCAAACAATTATTACCAGAGAGAGATAATGGGCTAAGATTTGGTCGTTGATTATTATTATTTTGTATTGGTGTATTATATGACCTTGGATCTTTAAATACAGTATATATAATATATAATATACAAATTTACAAATATACGTATAAGAAATTGTTGTCTTTCTCGTCTTCCAATAATGAACAGTTATGATAGAAAAATTCTATGATTAATAACAATAATAACATTTATTTATATACCTTGTTTTAATGGTTTTCTATATTGGCTGGGCATTTCAGGCATGGCTGGTGCTTCTTCACAAATATGCTCGGCAAGTCTTCTCAACTCTACGGTTATTCCACAGTTACTACATTTAATTGTAGGTAATAATTGACTGATGCGAGGTGTTTCCATTATTTTTTTTTTGAGAATAATTATGATATAATAAATAATAATATGTCTAATAAAGAATGAATTATTATATACTTTTGGATGTGCGTGTATGTGTATATGTATATGTATTATTTAATTTGAGCACTGTTTGTTGATGTTAATAAAAATTAATAATGAATGAAAGGTTTTTTATTTTATTTTTTTTAAAGTAAAAAAAAGAATTGAATTATATATTTCTTTTTCCTATATTGGGACTTGAAAAATTTTTTGGGTAACACTAACCCCTAGAGGTATTTGCCTAATTTCAAAAAAATTTGACTTTAGTTTCACTAAAAATTGGTTTTAACTAATTAGTTTCGTGTAACGAAAATTATTTTATATGAAATGCTTGACCAGAATTGTTTTCTTTGGATATTTAATAAAAAATTAATTTATTATTCATGAAGAAGAAGACTTTACAAACAAAACAATCGATGTATTTTATTGTAATAGTAACACAACAAATTTAATTTTAAATTTTCTTTAGAACGTAATTTTAGAGTTTATGGCAATGCAAAACACCTACGTATAACGATTAACAATTAATTTTTTGATATAAAAATTTTGATTTAAAAAAGTTTGTAATTCTATATTGCTCCACGAGAAATATAAAGATTGATGATCTTTCTTTTCGATAAAGAAAATTATAGAAAATTTTTCATAAATTTCGGACATTGATTGTTATAGATGGATGTCCTCACCGTAATAATAATAGTAATGGTAATAGATAGTTAAATTACCAAATTAAGATATACAGAAAAGTTTGCATGGATTGATTTCTGAATTGAATGTGTGACGTTTTCTGATGTATGATGTCTATAGACGATCTGCGCGGTATATTTGTTACAAAAATATTGGATATTTATTTTTATAATGATCATAATCATAAATGACTGATAATTTGTCGTTAAGTCTTTCCCTCTTCTTTTTTTCTTTCTTCCTATAACTAAATATAATAATTCCGAAACATTATCATTATTAAAAATTTTGATTGGACACAAAATTCTAATGGCTAATTTTTCACGCATGCGAATTTAAATTCAAATTCACGCGCAACTATCAAGTTTCGGCAATAGTTTCGGCCTTCATGTAGGTAAAATGCCGAAACTAAATCTATATAGCGGATATTTACATAATTGGTATCATATTTTTGATTTTATCACGGAAAAATTTTTTTGTTACACGTAATTTTATAAATTCAAATAATAAAATACTTGCTTTTATTTTTTACATAAAAAAATCATTTCTTTCTTTATTAAAGATAAAGATATTATCTGTCCTTAAACTTAATCAAGATTGTTGAAAAGAAATCATTTTTTATGTTATAAAAAATTCTTGGAGAGAATCATCTAGAAATTACAAAAATGAAGGCATGATAAGTATCTTCCTAAATATATTATCAATAAAGCTAAGCAAATGCATTCTTTGGTAATCCCTAATCTATTCATTATTTGCTTTGTGGGAATAATAAGAGTGTTTACATAGCTAATGAAGATTTTCAGATTTTGAAATCATAGACCTAGATTAAGAAGATAATGATCCAGGATATGGTATTCAACTAGTACACTACCCTCCAAAAAGTATCCAGATGAGATTTTTTTAATAATTACACAAAATGCAAAAGTACATAAAATTTATATCACTATATAGCTATAGATGCTGGTCGCAATTCTTGGTGATAGTTGCAACCATATTTGCGACATATAAAAATGGTTTGTGACACCTGGTTGCAACCACCTTTGCGACCACTTTGGTTTCCTTTTTTGGATTGCAACA